TAAAATACTCTTTGTAATACTTTAAGTAATAAAACAATTAAAAAAGAAAGTTTGAATTGAAAGAGAAAATAAGGAGCATAAAAGAGAAAAATTTATGGAAATGTTCAAATAAACATTGACTATTAATATTAGGGTGATATATTAATGGACACAAGACACTGGGGGGCATGGGAGGATAAGGGAGGGTCAAGGGGAGAAAAAAAAAGAGATATATATAATACTCTTTGTAATACTTTAAGTAATAAAACAATTAAAAAAGAAAGTTTGAATTGAAAGAGAAAATAAGGAGCATAAAAGAGAAAAATTTATGGAAATGTTCAAATAAACATTGACTATTAATATTAGGCTGTGATATATTATGCCTCTAATTTATAATATCCATGATGATATTTACTTACAGAACAAAAATACCATATATTTCCAAACTAGAAAAGGGTTTGGGGGAATGAAGTGATAAAAAGAATCCAAAAGAATGGTAGATAAAGAACTATAGAACATAAGACACACAGGGAAAAGTTAAACAGAAATATGGCTAATTATATTAAATATAAATGAAATAAATTATCCAGGTAAAAGATAAAGACTATCAGAGACTGGATTAAAAAAGAAATCCAAATGAACTAGAGTAACCAAAACAGTTTTAAAAAATAAAAAATAAAGCTGGAGAAATAACACTAATTTTAAGACTATTATTACAAAGCTAGTTATTAAAATAGTGTGATATTGGCAAAGGGATAACAGACCAAAAGAACAGAATGAAGAATATAGAAATAGATCCAAACAAATAATAGCCAATTTATTTTTGACACAGGTACAAAGGCAGTTAATGGTAAAAGGATAGTTTTTTGTTTTGTTTTTTTTTACAAATGGTTTTGGAAAACTTAGACATCCATTTGCAAAATCATGAACTTCAACTTGAACTTCACACCTTGTATAAAAAAAGGACCTGTACCAATAAAACAATGAGCAAAAAATATTAAGATGCTTAACAAAAATATATAAATAAGCACGAAAAGATGCACATTTTTTAAAAATATTTTATTGATTTTTTACAGAGAAGAAGGGAGAAGGATAGAGAGCCAGAAATATCGATGAGAGAGATCGATCAGTTGCCTCCTGCACGCCCCCCACTGGGGATGTGCCCGCAACCAAGGTACATGCCCTTGACCGGAATCGAACCTGGGACCCTTCAGTCTGCAGGCCGACGCTCTATCCACTGAGCCAAACCGGTTCGGCACAATAATTTTAGTCATTAGGGAAGTTTAATTAAAATAAAAATTAAGATACACTACAGATCGGTTAAAATGTCTAAAATTAAAAAACAAAAAAGCTGACAATAAGTTGAGGAGGATTCAAAGTAATATAAATTACGTAATTCACTCCTGGTGGGAGTGCAACATGATATAGTAAGTCACCTTAGAAAACAGTTTGGCAGTTTCTTATAAAGTTGTATTTCTTATAAAATTATATTTTTCATATGACCCAGCAATCCCACTTATAGCTACTTACCCTAGAAAAATAAAAACTTATGTTCATAAAAGCCTATACAGCTAATTTATAGAAGCTTTATTCATAATCAAAGAATGTTAAGTAAATGGATAATTGTGGTCCATCTATACAATGGAATACTATTTAAGCAATAAAAAGGAACTAACCATTGATACAACTTCAATGAATATCAAAAGCAAAATGCTGAGTGAAGGAGGCAATAATGTTGACCAATGGGGTGGGAGACTTGGTGTGACTACCAAGGGTTCTGTGTCCTGGTTGTGATGTGTCACTTGAATCTATGTTTGTGTTAAATTTCATAGAATTGAAAACACAAAGAGAAATCAATTTTACTGTATATTAATTGTAAAAATTAAATTTAAACATAGGAAAACATGAACAACTTTATGCCAGTAAATCTGAAATTCCTAGAGGAAAGACTTACCAAAACTGACATACAAAAATGAAAACCCTAGAGTCCCATACCCAGTTCAATCAGTACTGTAACTGGATATCACTATAACCTGTTCTATCCTAATGTCTTTTTACTGTCCACCTTAACACTTCCAAAAAGTAACAAACTTTGTAAATGTTAAGCAAATGAGTATTGAACATACTCCTCGGCCCCACCCCATGCCTTTACACTGCTCTCCACCAATACTGCTTGCTGGGGGAACTCCTATTCATTCTTTAAGAATCAGTTTTGCATCCACAATGAAGCCTTTGTACACACCTCTCCAAAATAAATCAAGCACTTCCTCAGAAGCTAAAACACTTCCAAATATCTACATATCCACAGGGATTGGGCCTAAACCGGCAGTCGGACATCCCCTGAGGGGTCCCAGATTGGAGGGGGTGTAGGCTGGGCTGAGGGACCCCCCCCCCCGAATTTCATGCACCGGGCCACTAGTTTATTACATTATCACATGTAATTTATTTATACATTTCTCTCACAGCAGGTAACTCAAGACCTGGACCCTGACTTATTTCTCTTGATATACACCCTGTATTTATCACAGTGCCTAGCATGGTGTTTCATAAATGTTTGAAGAACTGAATTATCAAGACAGTAGTAAACAATATTTTGGCAAAAATTAACCTTGCTTGCATATAGACCTTCTCCTGTTCAAAATTAAGAAAAGCAGTTTAGCCCTAGCTGGTTTGGCTCAGTGGATAGAGCATCGGCCTGTGGACTGAAGGGTCCCAGTTTTGATACCCAGTAGGGGGCGTGCAGGAGGCAAGCGTTCGATGATTCTCATCACGAATGTTTCTCTCTCCCCTCTCCTTTCTTCTCTGAAATCAATAAAAATATATTTTTAAAAAAGTTTAGCTGTACAGTGGATACTTGGATTTACAGCTGATTTTAAAGATGCTCTTCAGTCTTACATATAAATGTTTTCACATCCATAACTAATACCAGAGGTCAAAGTCATACTACCACTTCCCAAACAGATATGAAAAGAGTCAATATGTAGGAGATGCTTCTTTGGAGACATACAGCTCCATTTACCCTTTTATGAGGCTGTGTGATTTATCCATGTGATGAGCACAGTGCCCAACAATCCTTGATAGAGCTACAGAAACAATTCAGTACTGTTCCTGAAAGGCATTTACCTTGGAACCACTAACAACAAATATGACCTTGGATCTGTCATTTCACCCATCTGATGACAGTGAAGAAACTGAAAAATATAAGGAATACTACTCTCTCCTACTTCCTCCTTTACTGTCCAGAGGTAGGTTACAAAAGAGACAACCATACTTCTGCAGATGATGGGTACGCAATAACTAAAAGGGCGTGTTGTCCTAGACTTGCTAACAAAAAGTAGGCTGGAACGGAGGGCTGCAAACATTGGCTGGCTTCTAAATATAAAGGTATGTGAATGCTTATGATGAGTCAGTCACTGCTTCTTTGGATTTATATTGATCACTTTTAAACCTAACAAGTCCAAGACCTAGGTAATATTCTTCCCATTTCACAAAAGGCAAATCGGAGTAATCGCTACAATGTCACAGAGAGATGATTTAAAAGTATTATGTCTAGATTCACAGTCTATTCATTCTGCTCTACAGCAAACATTTATGTCCTATTTGGCTCACAGTATGTTTTATCTCAATTTTAAAAACTGAGGTAAAATCCACATAACATGAAATTCATCATTTTAAAGTGCACAATTTAGTGGTTTTTAGTATATTCACAATGTGCAATCACTACCACTATCTGATTCCAGAATATTTCCATCACCCCCCAAAATAATGCAAAACCACATAGCAGTCATTCCTCACACTCCCAAGAACCACTAATCCTATGGATTTTCCTATCCTGGATCAGTTATTAAGTTAAATTTTGTGCTAAAACATTTTGTAATAGCCTGGCCTGCGTGCCTCAGTGGCTGAGCGTTGACCTATGAACCAGGAGGTCACGGTTCTATTCCCAGTCAGAGAATATGCTCAGGCTGCGGGCTCAATCCCCAGTGTGGGGCATGCAGGAGGCAGCAGATCAATGATTCTCTCACTGTTGATGTTTTTATCTCTCTCTCTCCCTTTCTCTCTGAAACCAATAAAAAATATACTTAAAAAAATGTTTTGTAATAAATTATTTTTAATTGTGACTTAATTGCTGGCACTAAAAAAATTTTAACCTTCGGTTTCTCAAAAGAAAAAGAGAAGGTAGGTAGGATTATCTGGTAACAATCATTCTGCATTTCTGCACTGACAAAATCACTCTGATGTACTGAGCTGTGTGTACCTACCAGCAGTGGGCTCTAAAGGTATATCATCCACTGGAGATGACACAGGTAAACCTGGACAACTCTGTTAATTTAGCTTACTGGCCCAACTCCTGTGGTTATTTGTGTTAGCAATCCCTGCTCTATACTAAATATAGCATTATCACATGCAATGGCAAACACATTTAAGTTCTCAATTTAAGACTATTTGCTCCTTGATTTAGTTTCCATTATTAGTCCAATTAGAACTTCAAAATAAATCTTGGATCAGTTTACAATATGCCTTTTGTCAATTAAGAAATACAGAACTGACCATGGATTTACAGAAAAATTCTAATGGTCAAGACCTCTTCTCTGTACATATTCTAACAGCACTCTGCTTACCTCTTCATCGAGCACTGCCATTGTACTGTTTACACAAATGTTTACATCCATCTAGCTACACAAAGCTCCAAGGACAGAAAACAGTATTCCCAAGAGTCTCTACCACTGTCATGTAGATGATCCAGAAGTACTTGTTGAAAGAATAACACTGTGACAAGTGATAAATCAAGCAAGTGTTGAAATATTTAAAAAATTAAGAGGGGAAACTATTATTTGGACAAAATAAACTATAACACTGAAAATGGAGTTTATTAATGAGATCAGAGGTCCATGAACTCCTTAAAAGTATAAACCAAGCCCTAGCCAGTTTGGCTCAATGGATAGAGCATAGGCCTGTGAACTAAAGGGTCCCAGGTTCGATTCCTGTCAAGGGTTTGTGCCTTGGTTGCAGGCTCCTCCCCAGCCTGGGCCCTGGTTGGGGCTTGTGCAGGGGGCTACCAATCAATGTGCTTCTCTCACATCGATGTTTCTCTCTGTCTTTCCCTCTCTTCAAATCTCCCTAAAAATCAATGGAAAAATATCCTCGGGTGAGGATTGAAAAAAGAAAAGTATACACCAAAAAGCAGGTGCAGGTACTTGAGCTTTTATTACAGGCTCAGAGGAAATCTGTAAACTACAAAAGATTTAAGAATCACTGAGTTAGACAAAAGGAAATGTACATCTTTAACAATGTTTAATATTAATTTAAAAAGGTTAACTTGACAATTTACACAAATATTAAACAATTAAATTTCTCAAACTAAGTATACCTCATTCTTTCCTAAAGGAAGAGAAGATGACAATGTATCCTAGGCTTCAATTTATGTTCCAGCATGAGCCCCAAGCTTGATGAATGATTAACAAAATGTCAGCCTCGGAAAAGATACAGTGGCATTCAGAATCAATCAGGTGAGGACATCGGTTTACACAAGGAAACTTTATTTTTGCTTTATATTACTGCTTAAAAATAAGAACTTGATTTTCGTCCAAACTTAAATCATTTAGTGTCTTACATTTTTTAAATTGATGAGAGAAAAAGAGAAACATTGATTTGTTTCACTTATTTATGCATTCATTGGTTGCTTCTTGTATGTACTCTGACCAGGGATGGAACCTGAAACCTTCGGATATCCAGATGATGCTTTAACTAAATGAGCTACCCAGCCAGAGCTTACATTTTTAAGTATATCCCTTGAATTATATGTGGAAAGGGAATTTCTTGAGAGCCAGAGAGATATTTTAAAATGTTTTTTTCTGAACTTATAAGTCACAATTATTTTAAGATTGGTGACCTCTTAAATCTTAAAATTATTAAGATACCATTACTGAACTTTTTAAATTAGTGCTTACAGCCTTTTAAAAAGTCAAAATACAAAGAGAACATAATATCTGTGTAGAACACTAGGATAAATGATCAAGACTTTCAGACCTAAGATCATTGACTTAGATGCCCTGTATCCCGCACAAATGGCCAGAGGACTGAGGGGACCAGTATCTCCACACATCTGTTATTCTTCCTGATATAGTACAGTGGCTCAAAGTTCTGGTTTAAATCACCTAGAGCAGTGGTTCTCAACCTGTGGGTCGCGACCCCTTTGGAGGTCGAACGACCCTTTCACAGGGGTCACCTAAAACCATCGGAAAACACATATATAATTACATATTATTTTTGTGATTAATCACTATGCTTTAATTATGTTCAATTTGTAACAATGAAATTGGGGTCACCACAACATGAGGAACTGTATTAAAGGGGTGAGGCATTAGGAAGGTTGAGAACCATTGATCTAGAGAGATCACAGATTAGTCAAAACCCACACAGGTTGAAAAAATTATTTCATAACTCCCCTTATTTCAAGTATAGTCCAGATATGACACTAATGAGCAACCATCTCTTCTGGGAGATCACATATTTGGAGGTAACTGGCACAAAAAGCCCCCACAAAAACAACAAACACAAACTAAACCTTTTATCCCTATCTTGGAAGAATAAGCCAAAAGAATAAGTTAGTGGTAAAAATGAATGTTAACATTAAATGAAATTATCTTTTTCTTCCACTTTATAATGGTTCTCTTTTATTGTCTCAACTTAAGGTGGTAATCATGGCCAACAACATTCTCTCTCATCCATCAAACTAATGCAATATAAATAGTGGTGTTTTTGTTTCTTAAATAGGGAAAACAGGTAAAAATGGTTAACAATTAGCTCCTTGACAGTTCCCCAACCCACTCTGACCTTTAAATCTCAAGACTCCAAGTGCACAGAGAAACAACCTGTTCAAAGACAGAGTATAGTTTGTTTCCCGCCCCCCGCACTCCGAGTCCTGCAAAGGAGCTGAATTCAGAATATAAGCATTCACAGTAAAACCTGGTAACTCATTAAGCTACTGCTTGTGTAAAATTACAGGATTTTTAAGACAGTATAATCCTAACATATCACTGAGGATTCTGTTTTTATTCCCATCTACAAAATTTACAACATTCTTATTTTAAGAGGCAAAACACTCAAGCATTTCTATAAAACGAACCAGCATGTATGGCGTAACAAATAACATTCAAGCCCTCTGTGAATTTTATTTCTCCACCTTTAAACCAGAAAAGGATCAAAGAGCCAATGTAACATAAATAACATAGGAACAGTGGCAAATCTTCCAATGAAGGGAAGTATTGTAAGGAAACCCAAGCAGTTTGATATGAATTAATATAGTTCTAACTCAAACACTTGACAAAAGTCTGAAGTCTAGTATTGTCTCCAATAATCCTATAAAATAAAAGGGTAATATGCAAATTGATCAAATGTTGGAAGGACCGGTTGCTATGACATGCACTGACCACCAGGGGACAGATGCTCTATGCAGGAGCTGCCCCAGCCTGCAGGCCCTGATTGGGGTCTACTGGCCAACCTCTTGGTCCCTTACCCTGGATGGCAGGCTCCAACTGCACAATGGCAACTGGGGAACCGGGGTGGGTAGAGGCGGATTCCGGTGGTGCCAGGCCAAGGCCCCCGCCCCGCACACAGAGGGCGACCCGTGGCGGGGAGGTGGGGCCAGCAAGCGGGTGGGAACGG